CCCCCCCAAGGCCAGGCGACCCCGGCCTCAATCGGCGGCCACCGGACGTGGTTAGAAGCTCCTTTCGCGCCACGCACGCCAACTGCAAGCCTCCGATGCAGACGCTCCCCACAAACCGTTTCGTTGATGGCTAACGCGACTCCACTATTAGAGAATTCCACCTCGCTAAACTACCGGTTAGCAATCGTCTTAGGCGTGGACACCAGGGGTGTGTCTCTTGAAAATTTCGAAAGCACTACGTAATATAAAATTTCCGAAAATATAATCCATTTCGGATTCTTGCTTTTGGAAGCTGACAATTTGAGGAATTGATTCGCGACTTTTCGGGGAGAGGCTCTCCAAACCATCTGGCAGCCTGTAAATGTCCAATGTAAAATGAAAGGTATATATTAATTTATCATTAAACCTATAATTTCATTCGCGTTGTAGATTTTTCTATTTATTAAGTAGAAAAATATGTCATATGTAAATAAAATTCTTATATGGAAAAGGGCTACAAGGTATGTATTTGCCCCCCTCCTCTTGATTTAGGCTGCGCTCGCTCATAAATTCATACATTAGGTATCTTCGCAACACCTGCATTCTCTTAGTTCCCTTATCTCCACCCCGAAAGAGAGAGCGTGAGCATCATTCCTCGTTGATGCAAAGAAAAACTCACCTTTTAAAAATCGTCATTTTTTACAATTTCTGCTTGTACTAAAGTCTAGGAAGGAAAGTTATTGGCATCACTGAACAATACAATCCGAAGTAAAATATGTGTTTAAAGTACTAGAATGTTGCACCCACTTCAGCATGAAGGTCAATCGGAGCTGTTTCAATGATGGTTGAGATTGGTGGAGGTGAAGAGGAGATACAGGCAATTGTGTACCAGAAATTCGGGTTGTGTGGATGAACGTGTCACATAACTGTCAGATTCGAAGCTTTTGAGCTGAAAGTTGGTAAATATAGCAAGAGTACGCTCTATTTGTGTCATTCTGGAGTTCATCAAGATATTTTAATTTTTGGGGGATAGTTTACAGGACCCCAC